CATCAAAAAACAGCCGAGAATGTAGCGTTTTCGCGATCCTCCGAACCCCATCTTCGCAGGTGATATTTAGAAATATATACTCGTCATTTCGACTCGAAACTGCACGGAGGCCGTATAAACTATGTTCCGTTTCATTTTAAAGGCGATCGAAGTTAAATCTACATGGACGAGTCCCGAGCTTTGATCATAGCTGCCATGCATGTGCGATCTTGCAGTGCGTTCTCGCGTTTGTAATTTTCGCTTCGTTCGCACTTAGATGAGACGCAGTACAGTCATACATCGTATTTGGTATAGTAGTTGCAGTCTACGGTTATAATCATGGCACTGTAGAAAAGCACAGAGCTCAAAACTTACCACAAAACCGCGATCGTTTTTTTTTTTGGTTTTTTTCTTTAAGGAATGAAATTGGAATGGCTGTTACGTGTAATACAGTCAACCAACTCGGACAGTACAAATTTGCCGTTTCACATTAGCCAGTATGAGTGAATTGCCAACGAAGTACCGATGCCGTCTTTCTGCAAAACGTGTTGCGCAGTGTATCTTCGAACCACATCGACGCTGTCAGTGTCTGACGTGTTTTGTGTGTCACTTGTCTCCTTTTTCGTTCCCATACCAAGATGAAAATTCGGATATCGTGCACTATCCAAGCCTAGCTAATGAGCGCCCCATGGAATTGACACGGGAGTAAACAATGGCTAACATGTGCATATTTTTGTTTTGTTCGCTCAGCAGACTGGGTCAAGCAAAAGCCAGTGTGTAAGTGACAAACTTTCTAACATCATTTGTCATTTCTAGGTCCCAGATGGGCTGTTGACATCCAGAAACACTCCAACAGATGGTGGTCATACAGCGATTGTGAAGAATGTGAAGACAGTCCCATTTGGATCCACATTCCTAGACCACTCATTGATAATCTTTCCTTGTCGCATCAATGCCCAAGTATGCCAGGCACTGAGTGACTACTCGCATGTGTTAGTGATGGTGGCATGCGAGGCTTCAGTATTGTCGCTGCAGATAGGGCTCACCCTCACACCAAAGCTGTTGGTGGTGTACCTTTCCATGGAATTGTTTGGTTGATCCCAATTTCCTAGAAACGCCAATATTCAGTTTGGTGTGCCTTGCGGCTGAAGTAGATTCGTCAGCGAGGTCTAGTCTCTTTCCTGGGGGTAATACCATGTCAGCTGCTTTGCATGAGCCACTTGGAAACTGTTTGGAATGCTCTAGAGCACTTGTAATTGACCTTACCTGTTGTGTCCATGCTAATGCTGAAATGTAAAGTTCACTGAACCAAGTTTTACTAATGAACCAAAACAATCAGTGGAAAGGATGAATGGCTTTATTTGCTTTCTCGAAGTATACACTGTTTCATACATAATACATGATGCTGGCAACGCTACTTTCATTAGCAGACAGCTTAGTCTACACTCTGTTTCACGATAGCTTGGTGAACTGTGGAGGCTACGGCTCCTGCGACCCAGTAAGAATGTCGGAGCGAGGCACATGGCAGCATGTCACAGGAGCGTTCGTGTCACCGCGCCAAATGCAAGGACCACCCACCAGAACCAGCTGTCGTCTGCTCAGAAACCAAACAACTTCGGATGGACGTCCACTTCAGCAACATTACCGTCCGCTAGAGTAGCGAGCTCTTCAGTAACATTTTTATGAGGCAACCACATGCTCAATTTGCCCATGAATCTGTGGCGGGTGCTAATGCTAGGGCGATGGTTTGAGCGGAAGTGGTCGATTCACGGCTACGATTGATTGAACATCGATCACAAGCCATGTTTTTCTCAAAAGTGCTGATCTATATTAAGTGTTGCTAATAAGTAACATATGTCTTAGTCTTTCTTCAGTGTCGTGTAGTGTTGCGGTCCGAAGAATCCGACGGCAACACTACTAAAAGAAGAAGAAAAAAAAAAAAGCCTAGAACTATGTTTTGTCGCAGATGGCGCTTTCGCTGTGGCGATAACGAGGACCCGACCGTGGTATGTTGTCATGTGCCTGGCTCCGATGCTCTTATTGGGTCGCAATGTTTGCCAAGTGACCGTGAAACGAAGTATAATGTCTCACCTGTCCACACTATAAAACAAATGAGATGCCAGGTGTAGCCACTCTCGCAGCTGTAGCCCTTACATTATTGCTTGCTATGCTGTTTGGAAGAATACATACAAAAATCAGTTTACAAAGCCAAATCTAATTTTTTGCACTCATGCATGTTATGAAAATAAAAGCATCACGCCTGAACACCAACATCTGTCTCTAAATTATTCCTTGTTGAAATGAAAAATAAATATACTGTGAATATGAACCGATACAATCTCAAACAGGTTTAATAATGGATTCAATAAACAATTACTTCAATCTGCAAGCTTGAAATCAAGTATGCGTGTGCAATAAATACCCTGGTCTTTCGACTATCCCCGTTGACACTTGTTCTCGAAGGATAGGGACTTCGTCGATTTCACGGCAGTTCAAGCATTGGTCAGGTAACATGCTCGTGTTTATAGTTTCGGCTGTGCTATAGGAATAACAAAAGTGAGTTGTGTATTGCTGAGTCAAAGCAGAACTCTCAAGTCTAAACGGCTTCTTAAAAATGCACTAAAGCTGGTTTTGACTAGGGATGCCGCGAACTTTTTTCGAATCGAAGTTTCGATGATCGAATCAAGCGGTTCGAAAGGTTCGAAACATTTCGATTTTTCGAATTGTCTATATCGTAAAATTCGACGGAGGTCGAATTTTCGAACTTGTTAAGCTAAGAAGTTCGACGCTTTTCGAACCGTCGAACTTATTACGCTAAAAAATTCGATATTTTTCGAACTTTCGAATTTATTGCGCTGCAAGGTTCGATGCTTGACGAACTTTCGAACTTGACTGACCAAAAAATTCGATGAATTTCGAACTTTCGAATTTATTTATCAAGAGAATTCGAAAAGTTTCGAACTTTCGAATTCTGAAAAGTCAGAAGTTCGACGAGCTTCGAACTTTTAGGGTAAAAGTTCGACGTTCGTCGAACTTCGAAAGACCGGCGGACGGTTTCATTTGATTTCAAGTAGTGGGGTACATTCGTAATTTTTTTTTCTCAAACTTTTACACGCGGTGTTGCGTTCCTTACGAAAGACAATGTCGTTTATTTCAATGTTCTGCCATGCTTAGGTTTAAAGAAATAAATCCCCGAAGGGACGAGGAAGGACGACGGGTTTTCGACGATTATCGTTTGTGCCAGATTTGAAGCACGCTGCAGCCGGAGCTATTTATGGTAGATATGTTATACTTTTTTTAAGAATGATCTATGTATAGCCTAGGTAAGTGCCGTCTTAAGATGTGATTATTGTTATTCAACCTGAGTTTCGAAGAAATGTCCAAACATCTATCTGCATGCAATTATGTCCTAAACTTGATATTTATTTTCGTCTAAGTTGTTTGAGGTATCGCATTTAAATTAACACCACAGACAGTACATATCGTTGCCATCTGCAGAATACAACATAATATATTTATTGTTTTTTCACGTTAAGGAATAAATTAACTCACGGGAGAAGATTTCTAATGGTGTTCAAGTTCAGCACGTCATTAAAAGAAAACTTTTTTTTTGTACACATTATACTAAAAAAAACTTGTTTCGAAGTTCTGAACCTCTGAATATGCAAGAATAAAACACTTCCGACGAATTCTTGATAGTTTTTTTTTCTCCTGCTTTTTATTCCCGCATTTATTCTTTTTTTTCTTTTTTGTAACTATCGGCACAGGTGTTTAGGTCGAAAAGACAGCTTTGAACTTCCGAACCACTAAGCATGTGACGAGCAGTGCCTTCTGACAACGAGTTTCTAACAATGACCATCTACGCAACCTTTTATGCAGTGAAGAGCGACAGTAGTTATGCATATGCATAAATAATTTCAGATTAAAATAAGCTCGACCACGCCCTCTTTCCCCGTATTATTTTCTTTAACAGTCCGAAATACCTGCAAGGGGGAGAAGAAGGCTGAAGCCCCCCCCCCCCCCCACTCCGCTACCCTCTTTCCCCCCGTTTTTCCTCTTCCGACGCCACTTGTATGGTAGAACGCTCCTCGACCTCGAGTTGTGTCGGCTTTTTTGCTTTTTGCGAGGCGATTCCTCCGTCCCAGAAAATAAACCTCCAGGACAATTACAAACTTCACCGGATCGGATTACTACCAGCGTGCAAGGGGTGGCGAGCTAGTTTGCCAGGTCGCTTTAAGGTTTTTCTGAGCCTCAACCTCCTGCTCGCCCCTGGCCGTTTCGAACTGGATGAGTCTCGTAAAACAGTGTGTTCGTGTAATCACTACTGCCTGATGCAGGTTAAAGACCCCCCCCCCCTCCCCCCGGGGCTGGCGGTCACAATTCTGCACTGGCAAATATTCTAGCACGTCCGGGACACTCGTTGTCTCATTTAATTGCCTGACCAACTTCGCAGAATCTAGATATCACACCCTAACTTTTCTAAACTTGATTTTGTGAAAACAAGTGAGTCGTGAAAACATTATTTTAAACTGAAACTGTAGAAAAACTTGAAAATCGGACCTCGAACTTTGAAAACTTGGATTAGAAAGAAATTCAAAATCATCGTTTTTTTTTTTTTAATTTAGCGTTAAAAGAAAATCGAAACCTTCGAACTTTTCGAACTTTATGCAGAAAGAAATTCGAAATCTTCGAATTGTTCGACCTTCATGTCTATAAAAATTCGAAGCGTTCGAAGTTTTCGAATCTTTTTTACAAAGAATTTCGAAATCTTCGAATTTATCGAACCTGAAGTAAAAAAAATAATCGAAATATTCGAATTCGAAATTTTAGAAACCGTGAAAGCTTCGAAATTTTCGAATTCGAAACTCCGCTGTGGTCAAAAGTTGCAAATTTTTCGAAATCGAACCTCGGTCGGTACGAAAATATCGAAATTTTTCGAAATCGAACCTCAGTTCGCTTCGCAAATATCGAAACCTTTCGAAATCGAACCTAGGGTGGTTCGCGACATCCCTAGTTTTGACTTCATAATTACATGACTCGAACATAAACTACTCCCTTCACCAAGTCTAAGAATTCACAAATAATCTGTGAACATGTATTCTGCTTTTATCTTCATTCACTTATGAAACTGATTGCGTATATAAAAGATCCAATCAGTCTTCCACACCTTCCCATTGCGAAAAGGAAGAGGGAGATTCGTTGGCTTTTTTTTTTCTCGCCAAAAAGCAGAAAAAGAAAAGGAACAGGTTTCAATGTGCACATTACGTTGAAGTGGGACAGTTACGGAAACAAATTTTGCATCTTCAAAGCTCATCAAGTAGGCAGATTACTTTCCAGTCATAAGAGAATAAAGTCAGAAACAACTTCAGCTCGCCTTCAGTCAGATTTTCCCTTTAGATCCAGGGACGTTTCACCTTCATAAGGTCACCAGTACCAATTGGCATCCATTTAGGACTCTGTAATGGTACATGTACAAGCTTGACCTCAAGGTCGCAGTGCCCTTCTTTCATGTGCTTGCAGTGCGACCCCCTCGTGCACTTGGTCCCAGATGGTGAAGCTGGTGCTGGACAGGATGTCGTCCCCTGTAAAAGAGTCGTCCCAGTAGTCAAACGGTCCGGTTACACCCTTGAGCAGCGTATTTGTCCTCCCATGCCATTACCAACTTAAAATCAGTAAAAGCCTATTTTGAAGCAACAGAATGCATAAATAAACATGTCTATTCCATTCCCTTCGTACCGAACACCTGCCAGCATCCAAGGGATGCAAATCAAAATAAATAACATAGCATTATTTGCTCTTTTGAGACTCCTTGAACTTAAACCAACTCAAACACTACCACAATTTTAAAGCTGGAAACTTCGAGGACACCTCTCCATATACTGAGATTACATGCTTGTCTCACTCCTGGCTTGTCCTCATCCTGGCTTGTCCTCAGCAGGGTTGGCCAGCGTGTTCTCATACTCCTGGGGTTTTAGTCTTGGAAATTAAAGCTTTGGTTTTTGTCATTGCTTGGTTGCTGGTAAATACTGGAGGAAGCTCGTACTGTTACTTTGAAAGATCAAGTTTACAAATTGAGCACTAACCCATATTGATGGCCGGATACAGAAGCTAGATTTGTCATGTCAAGGAGGTTGTCATAGAACAGTGGGCCCGGGACTGAAATTAGCGGCGGAGCGGGCGACCGAGGCGCATTTGGGAGTATCGAAGAAGACAAGGTGTGTGAGTTTTGCGCGAAAGCAGGACGATCGGCCAGAGATGTGAGAATGTGGCGTCGAAAGAACTTCAACCGGGCTGACTTCATGACTGTTATCTGAGCCACATTAACCAGAGGAGGAGAGAGAGTAACAAGTGAACGATACTCTACGGCCTATGAGGTAATTGACCAGGTTATTTCACCCAAGCACCACAGTAGTCATATCAACGACCAAAAAAAAACAGCGTCCAAACATCAGCACAGCAATACCAGCAGCGTGCCAAGGAATCGGGTTGTGTGTATGTTTATATAGTCTCAAACTCGATCTGCCTTAACGGGCGATGACTCTCCCAGCTGTAGATGACCGCTAGCCTGGGGCCCTTAACGTGCATCACGTAGTAGTGATACACGACCGCACGCCGGTACAATGCTCATCCAGATCGAAACGGGCAAATGTGGGGCTTGAACACACGATCCTGGGTTCTGCAGCACGAGCTTTCACTCCACATTCTCCGAGCTGGTGCGTGGAAGCCCCCTCGGCCACCAATCCCCCGGTGCCAGGGAATAACATATAATAAATGACAACGGTACAGTGGTCTGCAACAGGTAGCTTTTCAGTGCCTTGAGCAACCAGGTTGAGATAACGTGACACTTTCCTGCCATATGTGGCTTGCAAAATAGAGATGTATAAGTCATAAAGCAAGTAATACAAAGTTTTTTTACTAAAGATATCAGCATTTGTATTTGGCTTCCACAAGTTCTGAAAGCTACCTCTGAGTGCATTGAGCGGTTTCTTTATAATCTTACCTCCATGGAGAACTTCCCAGCTGGTAACGGGCCGTGAAACGCAGATCCCCTGGAAGCCTCACAGGCGCCGAGGGCATTACACAGGGCCTGCAACATGTCCTCCGAGCATAGGGTCCTTTCAGTAGCCCGGCAGCCGGTGGATTCTGTTGGAATGATGGGGTAGGGGAAACACAAGCACTTGCAGATTAACGGACCTAAGAAATCTAGTAGGCAGGTACGAAAACATGCTACTCGCCCCCGCAGCGTTTGCCTCATTGGCGCTTTATGGTGAAACAAATCAGCGGTGAGCGACTGATGGAACACGCGTCAGAAGAACAGTGCGTCTTCAGTTGAACACCTTAGGACGGCGCTTTATCGCGTGCGTGAAGCGTTGGCTTAGCCAGGTTTTTTTGGGGCCGGGGGGGATCTGGGGTGCGAGGTACTGAACCCCCCTCCCTCGCTGCGCCACTGGCATGAAGTGACATCGGATGACACTTAGACACGGCGCTATCACTGCTAAAATACGCTACCATCGAACACTGAGTCGTGACTGCGAAGTTTATGATCCACATACAGATATCCTACCACACTATCTGTTTGGACAAGTGGCATACAATCTGTCGCTGGGGGAAAGACTAAAAACAGACGACTGCGCACTCGGCTCGGTCGTACCACACCTATCGCCTAATCCGCTGCTTTTCCGTAACATTCCGTTTTACTTTGCTATACTCCTTTCACGTGCAACTGAACTGTTTGTGAATGATGCGAAGTGTACAGAGACGACGTAACTCACCCCAGCGAGCGCCATGGCGCGGTTCTCCGGGTGCCAGCGCTGCGGGAGATCGGCCTTCGAAAGCTCGGCAGCCCGTTCAGCTCGCCGAAGAGGGCTGTAGCTACTCTTCGATGCTTCACGGAGACACCGAGACACTTGCTGGCGAAAAGGGGTCTCCGCCAAAAAGTAGAAAGGCTCACTCGCGTCGCACATCACCGTGCTGACGTTGGGGGGGCTCACATCAACATCCGACCGCCGGAGACCGGGACGCATATTGGTGCTTCGTATGCTCCCAGGGTAAATTCTTTCACGTCAAACGAAGTAACGTACATTGCGAGGTATTTCCGGTCTCTTTTTTCCGTATGCCGCGTCCTCGTTCAAGCAGTAGCAGTGGATTTCCGAGAGCCACAGAAAAGGCCTTTCGCAATGGCTGCGGAGAAAAGACGACACCGCTTTGTTTACCCCCGAGCTCCCGCCAGCTCCCGCCCGGAGCCATCCTCCAATCAAAGCGCGGCGAGGTGACGTCACGCCACCGGCCTGCGCGAAGGAGCAGACGGCTTTGGTTAGGCTTGGCTGGATCGGCGGATTCGGCCACTCGGCGTCTCGCCTCGCTCGCCTCCCTTCGGAATTCGAACTGCCTCCGAAGCTCGAGCTGGCTCGAGCGCTCGAGCAGCTCGGGCGTTCGCGCGCGCGGGTTGACGATGGAAACTTTTCTCATAAAACGAGTCTGTAACGTATCGTTTGATGGCGCAAATGCACGTATTTTTCCCGTCGTTTTTTTACAGTGAGTGAATCTTGCGAAACAGGCGACGAAGAGTGGTGGGTGAAATGTGCTCGTGTGTGGTTGTGGATTTTGTGTACGACGTAGGATTACCCAGAAAGGTGGGTCAATATCGATAAATGTGCGGGTAAGAAGCACGTGACCTGTCAAGCCCATTAATCCTCATTATTTTATCGTGCGAACTGACATTGTCACGTATCGCGTTCGATTTGGGTTTCAACATCGGTAACCTAACTTTTGTTGCATTAAAACTGCAATAAACATTTGTTTGAAAACGATCACTCCAAATGAGCACGTCGTTATTGGGCTTTCTCATTGAAAGGTAGGTCGCGGGTGTCCCAGCTAGTTATTCTGAATGGTTTGGTGGTTGTCTAGCATTTCAAGCGCTCGAGGCTCTGTGTACTGTGTGCCGTACGTACACTTGCGCTTTCGATCAATGTGAATATGTTTGCAACGCGGAACGTTTGTGTTCTGTGTGTATCCACCTCCAATATCGTTCTCTCTCGTATTGCCGTATGCTAACTCCTGCTGTTCTACGATATCATTCACGCGATGTCGTATATGTGGGCGTACCGATATCCACATCTTGCTTCACGGGCGATCAATACTGTGTTACGTATCCTCTTAGTCCGCGGTATATGCCGACGTAATTCATGTTGGTAACTTGGAATTCGTTCTGAGATTTATCCACGCGATATTGTATTCTCCTTTGGGCCCGTGATCGACGACCGATATTTATATATCGTGTGGCCGCACAGTATGTCCATGTCGGTCACCAATATGCACGCGGTGTCGTATTCTATTCCAATAACCGTAAGTTCTGTCGGGATATTGTGCTTCGATATCGTGTTGTATACCAATAACCGCAAGTTATATCGGGATATTGTGCTCCAATATCCTGTTGTATACCAATAACCACATACTATATCGGGATATTGTGCTCCGATATGAATTCCCATCGTGCGTATTGGGTTAATCGGATAACAATAAGTTTTTATTGGTTTCCATCAACTTCATTGGAATACAATATTTCCAATAAGCCGAGTTCATATTGGCCTTTTTCAATAGGGTGGCCCAGCTGACGCAAGAAGTCCTTCGTCTCAGCCACACCAGCCATCGTCGCACCACGGCGTACCACCCGCAGACCAACGGGCTGACTGAGAGACTCAACAAAACCATCGCCGACATGATCTCCATGTACGTCGACGTGGAGCACAAGACATGGGACGAGGTGTTGCCGTACGTCACATTTGCCTACAACACGGCCGTACAAGAGACCACCGGAGTGACACCCTTTCAACTGGTGCATGGGCGCAAAGTAACGACCATGCTGGACGCAATGCTGCCCCATGAGCCAGCTGACAGTGAGAGCGACGACGCCCAGGTGGTTGCTCAACGGGCCGAAGAAGTCCGCCAGCTCGCCCGACTCCTGATTCAAGACCAGCAACGCGTCGACGCGGGCCGCTACAACCTTCGTCGCAGGGACGTTCACTTCCAGCCCGGAGACAGGGTGTGGGTTTGGACGCCCATCCGTCGCCGCGGCCTCAGTGAGAAGCTGCTGAAACGGTACTTTGGACCATACAAGGTACTTCGTCGCCTCGGCGAGCTGAACTACGAGGTGATGCCTGACGGAACACGAACATCGTCACGCCGCCCACCACGACCTGAGGTCGTCCACGTCGTGCGCCTGAAGCCGTACTACACTCGATAGGACTGTGGGCCTTATGTGCTCCAAAAGACTCTTTAGTTTATCGTTCTTTTTTATTTTGTTTTGTTTTACAATGCATCGGGGCGATGCACTTTTAAAGGGGGGAGTAATGCCGCGCGCAGGGCTGAGAAAGCAACGCTCGGTCACGGACCTCCAGAAAGTTCCCGTTTATTCATGTGGCGCACGGAACTTCTATTATTTATATCCATGTATCTTCTGCTTTTGTTTTCTAGAAAGTGCGTGTTCATTCTCGCCCCGATCACGCGACGCTCGAGCCGCTTTCGCCGAATCTTCGAGATAGCGACGCACTCTAGATAAGAGGCCGCCCGCGACCTTGTCGAGTCAGTGTCGCCCCAGCGTTCGACTCTGCTGCCACGCCGACTTCGACGCCCGCGACGCTCTATTATTATCTTTTGTACTCTTTTATTTTTGGCACAAGTTCGCCACATTAAACGTTTATTTCTTCCTGTTTATTTATTATTTTTTTAGTCACCACCCGTGACAATATTTCCAGTTCATCATTTTTATCCAAAAGCATTCGAGAGAGCCAAACCCTATAATGTACGGAGGGAACTCACGGAATGACGCGACTGGCAGTTTGAAACATTCGGCAGTATAAGAGTAATAATGACATGTCACTTATTTAATGCTCATTGTCGCAGATCAAACTGCTTTTTTCGTCTACACTCATTTTTGGTAGATTCATTGAGCGAACTCCCACCTGAGACTGCAGCGCTGGGTTTTGCGACGTAATTTGAATGAATATAGATGCGGCAGGTTTCTTTGAGCGTGCGCCTAACACATATTCTTTATATTGAATCTGCTAAATGTATTCATGACCATATACATAATTGTATCCACATTTTACCTAATTTTTATTTTGACATTTGAGTTTTCGACAGTACTTTTTTCAAACATCTGTGCTTGTTCAGCCGTGCTCAAGCTCATACATCTTGTCTTTCGCTATTACATCAATATATAAAACTGTTGATGCGAGTGAGAATTCAGGGTACCAAATCTCTCGTGCGAGCTAAGTAAGAACCAATAAAAAGCTCTACAAAGAAATTTTTCTAAAGGGGGCTGTATGCCATGCTAAAAAAATGTAAATTCTTGTTAGGTATGCAAGGATGAGAATGCTGTACCGTTTCTGATGTGTCACAAAAAAAAACTGCCATACAGTGTTCTTTATGGAAGTTCAAACTGTTGAATTCGAAGGCTAGAAGTTATATTCAGGAATGTTCCTCACTACAAATGTATTTAGAGGTCTGAGCCACCGACTCATACATGACCATGTGGCAAACATTCATTTTCATGTGCATTACAGTTCACAAGGCCTAGTCTGCAATGAGTTATTGCATTCGAGCTGAAACTGGGAGGGGTTCCCTGGGAATGAATAAAGAGAAAACATTTCTTAAAATCAAAACATTTGAGAAGGAACAAAAGGAAGGATCTAAGAACGGCATCTTAGATTCTCTTTTCTTTGTCTTATCTCTAATTTTCACTTTATTTTACCTGAGGCATTTAGCTTTTTGAGCGCAGCTCTTAGGCACCTGTTTCCGCATTTCGCGGCGTCACTGTCGGCGCAACCGCCCCAATAAACTTGTCAGGAAATCGAATTAACGTTGACGTCATGTGACGTTAATATTTCCGCTAAATCTGGCTGAGAAACTGAATTTTTTTATGAATGACGTGACACGGTCATGCGACGTCATTTTCCCCGCTACTTTTAGCGGGAAAACTGCATTGGTGTTGAGGTCACGTGACATCAATTTCCGCGCTAAATTTTGTGGGAAACTTAACCCGCTAAATTTAGTGGGGAAATTTTCCCGCAAAATTAAAGGGAAATTTTCCGCTAAATGGGAGGGAGCAGAAGAGGAGGAGGGGAGGGGGAGGAGGGGCATACCCTCCCATCCTCCTTTTCAAGATCTGTGCTCTAATTTCACATTACAGAGAATTGTAAACGTCTCATTCTTCATTATGTTTATTCAACTTTTATATTGCAGGTGCGCTCGCAGCACAATTCTGGGTTGTGCTGATCCTCTATGCACAATCCCAAGTAGCACAACACGCCTGGTTGGGGATGGGGCGGTATTGGCCTGCCGGGATACCGATACCGGCTAGTACCGGAAACGCCCCAAGGGGCGACATCGGCCGGGCCCAATGCCGGAATCCGGCCGGAACCGGGAACTTATTGGGAAACCGGGATGACGGGAATACGGGATGTTCCCAGCGAGCTCCCGACACAGATCCCCGGCATAGAACCGGTGGTACGGTAGGAAACCATCAGTGTGCCAGCGTGTTTCCGGGTCAGAGCCAGTCCAATTGCGGATTAGTCCCAGCGTAAAAACAGATCAGTGCCAGCGTAATTGCGGGTCAGTGCTTGCGAAATTGCGGATCAGCACCAGCGTATGCGTCATTCAGTCTACCCAGCATAGAACCAGCAGAATGCTAGCTGTGTCAGGCTTTAAAGCCCAGGAATGACATCCTACTGCATTTTTCAAGATCTAACTTCTCAGTAGATCAAATTCCCTTAAACGTGGAAATGCTAAATTTCTCAGTCCGAACTATTTTATTGGTTTTCATACCTTTTATAGGTGCTGACCGTTTTTAACATGTTCTTCGGACTTGAACTGAAAAAAGCCAGTTTAGTATTTGTGCAATTTTAAGAAACAACTCTGTGTGAATGATTGACTTTCTCCATGTATGCAGTATACTCATGGAAATTATTGTATACTCGTTGAGACGACATGTCCCCTTCATCAGTCGCCCAGATGCACATTGTGGGTAGTACAAGAAGGGAACATACACAATTT